TTTTGTCTTAGTCGAATCAATATCTACCCAGGTGCACGATCGCTTAAGCAATCCGTGATATCCTTAAGCATCCTGTTTGAAAAACCCTTTGTCGTTTAAGCGATATACTTAGTCGCTTAAGCGTCATGGCAATATATACTTTTCCAGCTTTTCTCGTGAATTTTGACAAACTAAAATTACCAACACGTATTAATTCCATACTTTCTCCTCAATTTGACAACCTAATTCCAAACTAAAATCACCAACAAATATTTAGCATGTAACAAAGAACACTAAATATAAAGAATGATTTATTAAAGGTAAAAAAATTTAAACACAATAATTGAAAACAATAACTCATCAACGGTTGGCCTTCGCAACTCCCTGAATTTCATCCTTCTTCGAACCTAATTTTCTGGATCTGCATGGATTACTTCTGGTAACTGCTTCTCTTGTGGCCAGGTTGCTTGCAAATTGAGCACTTATTCATCTTCCGGGGAACCTCAGAGGCTGATGGAATACGCTAACTTTTTTTCTCTCCTTACTGTCTTCTTGAATGGCAGATGGATAATAATGTCAGCCAACTCTGGCGGCATTACCCATTGCTCTTCTAGAGGCACTGGATATATGTTTCTGATAAGCTAGCATGTAGTGATCTGCCATCTAGAGAGGGGAGCAAGTTCCATGTAAATTCTTGAACCAAATCCGGCTTCCGTTGGTGTTTCAATGCTGCTAGTGCATGAGGACAAGGTAAACGTTGAATGTCAAGCACTTTACAGCTACAAGTTTTACTAACAAGGTTAACTAGGGCATCCGAACCATAGCAGCGCACAGTGAACTCTGAGCATTAAAAGGATATGCAAACAATGTATTTGACAGTTCCATACGTTCTCGCAATAATTTTTCAGCTACGACAAGGGTTGTATTAAATTATCTGACTCCATATTACGCTCATGGAACCACCGTGACAATGTCCTCTAGATTGCATCAAAAAGTGCAACTATTAGAAACTCTCTTTCTAATAACAACTTCGAATTTATGACTCCGCTATATTCGTGGCATGACATCAAACCTTCTTCCAAGAAAGTAAGCTCTACTCCATCGCACGAAACCAACATCATGCTCAAGATACTTAGCAACTTTGTCATCCTTGATTCGGATTTGCTGGAAGTGCTCCTCGACCCTCATCAACCTGATAAGCTTTTGCTGCCATGTAGTAGTTCTGAAGAGGCCAACACACTTAAACTTTTGTTTTATGTTCTCACCAAGGTGCCTCATCAGAATCCGTGATGTCTTGACAGTAAATAGTGGCAATCCCCTTCTTTATAGAGTTATGCATATCGGATATTATGCACAACTCGTCACTGTCATGCACTATCGTACGTAAGCTAAAAAAATCAATTCCATGACTCATCATTCTCAGAGTCAACCACACACCATGCAACAGATATGTGTGATTCCGCTGTCCTGTGCAGTAGCCCCCACATGTACCTCCATACTTTCCCATCAGAAAGCAACCATCATAGCCAACACCTTTCTCATGTTTACAAAACCCCTTATAGCAGAACCGTAAGCAACAAAAAATATTTTACATCATATTCCTGTCCCACTTCAAAGCCGTCTTGCTACCTTGGTTTGTCAACTCAAGCATATAACGGTACGCTTCTAATACTACGTACCCGTGCTCCGACGTGCCCCTCACAAATTTGTGCATCTTGTCTCCCTTTCCAGCATTTCCAGTAACTAACAGCACATCCCAACTCTATGCGCACAAGTCTCTAAATGTCTTTAGGAGATGGACATTTCCCTTTAATGAACCGACTTTTGACAAATTGTCCAATAACATCAGCAAACGTTTGTCGATGCTGACCTGATATGTCACAAACCACATGTGTGCTCACGGTATATGTGCTAAGAATAATTTTTTTCGGACTCTGCCAACCTTCTACATAACCCCCACTTGCACTTTCGGTCATGACATGCAACCGTCACAGCCAATGAATTTGACTTTTGGTGATGAACTCAAAATTACCTCTCACGGCAACAAGTTTTAACTCATCACCACTTCCTCTTTGTTGTCAATAAATACCCTATGCGCAACTCCAATCCATCCGTAAAAACATGAGTGATTCACTACTACTCCAATTGCCCCCTCTGAACCTGCATAAATGACCCATAGTGTTCTCTTCCTCACAATCAACGCCTTCTGCATAATCTGTATTTAAATGAATCTCTACATCTTTGGGAACATCTACGGGGTCCTCCCCTCAACATTTTCATTCTGCCCCCATCACCAACCTCTTCTACAGTATCCTCCTCACCACCCAATTCACCGTCTACTCTTGATTTTTCAACTAACAAATCAATGGCCTCGTAGTTCAATTAAAACCAGGCAAATCTCCTCCTACTTCCTCGTTATCCCTTTCCTTTGAACCAACTTCCAACGGTTTTTCTACAAAAGAAACCCTTAAAATCGGCCTCGAACCATTATCGGCCACATCAATCATACATAACTTCACACTTTCATCCGACTTTAATATAGCAGGAGGTAGCTTATAGTTCAGGAACCTGCTTAAAACTACTTCACAACTATATCACTACGCGAGCAACTCAAATCACCTCTTCTAATTATTTCATCAATCAACTCATCAAAACTAACCTCGTGCTCACAGCAATTGGTATAACTTCTTTGCTCTCCAATCCACTTCCAGCTACTTTCTTCCTCCACCCACTCACCAAAATATTCACACCCAAAACAACTTGTCCCATGTGTAATAAGCCCAACTACCTATAATGCAAGAAAAAAAATATTCTTAAATGTGTACTAAGGGTTCAAATATTTTAAAAAGAATCAGCACAGTCGCTTATATGGTCTGGTGTATCACTTAAGACATCATGGTTATTTATGCCGGATCGGTTAAGCGTACACTTGATCGCTTAAGCAATCTAGTATAAATAACCATGATCATTAAGCGATCTTATGCCAATTACTGATCGCTTAAGGCATCTGCTCCTATACACCAGACTTTTAGCAGATCGCTTAAGCGATCTTATGCCACATACCTATCCTTAAGCGATCTTCTCTGCATTACCAGACGTACCAAATCGCTTAAGCGATACACTAGATCGCTTAAGCAATCTATCATACCCAGAACACATTTTCAATCATCTCCACCTACAATCGATCCATCATACCTAGAACAAATTTTTAACATATTTCACTCCTTTCAACTTCCTTACATCAAACATAGCCCAACAACCTAAACAACTAGATCAAAACATAACCCAAACCCAATCCATGCTAGATCAAAATCATAACCCAGATCTTTGTAAATCGAAATATGAAATCGAAAGGGAGATACACATCCGGACGAAATGTTAGGAGGAGAAGGAGGAGGAGGAGAAGGATCTGTGTTGGAGAAGATGTTAATGGCGGAGAATGCGTTAACATGGCGGGAGAAAGAAGAAGTGTTTGGTTTATTTGCAAGAATTTCGACTCTTTGGGAACATATATAATTTTTAAAAGATTACACAATTATTCATTAATCCTAATTAACCCCTATCATATTTAATTAGCTTAATAAAAAAATAAGACTATTTAGTTAACATTTCAAACTACATAGTCTTTTAATTAAATTTTAACTCCAAATGTCTTTTTAATAACTGCCCCTAACATGTTCATATCTTTAATTTATAGGCTTTTTTTTAACTTCAAAGCTTCTAATATTGCTTTATTGTAGGCATGTCTAGATAAAAAGAGTGTGCCATAGAACTATCAGACGAACTTTCGACAAGAGTTTTTGTACATGTAAAACTAAGAGAAAGAAACTAGCAGTGGAAGTAGTATGCAGCTGAATATAAATAAATTTTCTTCTAATAGTGCAGTCATCGGAATTCAAAGAAATTAGCATAGCAGTAGGGATTTTTTGGGCATCCCTCTAGTCTTCGGTTTCTATTTATTTATTTATAAATTGCAACCAGCTTTTCATATCTCTAGGTTGTATTTGATATTATATGTGACACTTTAAAATCATTTAATAATATTATTATTTTGTTCTTTTTTCAAAAGTTTAATGCTATATATTGTTCCTCTTTATTATGTTGTCTCTTCCCTTAAGTTCAAAATAGCTATCTAAATTAATAAGAAAGTATAGGCTTACAACAAAGACTATCATAGTCTTTGATTAGGGTAAACATATAGTCAAACTTAAAAGTATTTAATTAGAATCAAAATATTTTCAACTTTGTTTTACTAGGAGCAAATATCCCCGATTTCTAAATACACCTTTCCTATAATTTAATAATAATAAAAAATATAAAAAAATCTCTTTAAACCCTATTTGATACTCAAGATAGCCCTTTGAACTTAATTAGACTTATTTTCCTTAATTTTAAACTTAATTAGGTTTTTTGTTTTACACTATTTTTCTCAAATTTCCTGATTCAAAATTTGTACATACTTTTTTCTTTTAAAGATTCATATTCATCCCTTGTATGATTACTTTTTCCATAGTTTTAATATCATATTTTCATCAAACAATCAGATATTTAAAGTAAAACAAAAGATTTTAATGATTATGAAATTTTAGAATTAGGATTATAGAAATTTAGGATCAAAGTTTATGGAAAATTAAATGTTAAAAATTAAAACAAAAATATAAAATAAAGATTAAAGTATACATGTACTTAAAAACTATAACATCATTTCTAATAATTTTAATTAAGGTTAAACTTGTCAAAACCAAAAATACATTCTGAAGTGGAAGATACTTATAAGTTATAATTAAGTCCTCGTTAAAAATCAATTCCCCATTTTGAATTGCATAGTCCAATCAAACTATTTGGCTTTCGTACATTACATGGTCCAAGTATCAGACTACTGTTTTGGGGTGTGTGAGTAAGAGGAGCCTTCTTTGAGTTATCAATTCAGCACAATTCTTGACAAAAATGAACATCAACATATTAAAAACGAAATTAAACACATAAAATTTTAATTAATCGGACGCGACCTCATGTCATGGCCAGCCAAGATTAAGAACAAATTAACTTCAAAATCAGCGCAAAAGTTCTTGAGAAATTCTTGGTACCCACTAAACACTCATTCCCACACGTATTCAGTGGTAAAAGCCACTTTCCTCTAAGCAACACATAATTCTCTATGTAAACTGATTATATAAAAATTTACGAAAGGCAGGGTTTCCTGCTACATATAAATGAATCGAAGTTGAAGGGAAAGACTAGAAAAAAAAAAAAAAAAGTGTAATTGAATCTGCTTACGGCTGGATTGGCATTTCAGCTGCACGCTACTTCGACTGCGAGTTTCTTAGTAGCGCCTGGACACAAACTCTTATCAAAACTCTCCTCTGTTAGTTCTATGGCACACTCATTTTTATTTAGGCAAACCTGCAATAATATTAAAGAATATTACGAAAAAAACAGAACAGGAAAAAAAAAAAAATATGGGTTTCAATAATCATTCAATACATATATCAACATGCTTTCATTGCAGAAAGGCTATAACTGAACAAGGATCGCTACTTGGATATGTTGAAAAACACTGAATCAAAAAGATAAGGCTGATAAAGCAGTTTTACCTTCTCAACGATGGAAATAGAGTGAGGATCATGGCAATCTCCCAAACTGAAGGATCCACATGTTCCGGCAGGAGTTCCAAAACTGGCAAATCTTACAGTGGAGATGCGAGTGCTCTTAGGACACTTCAGATTAACAGTTGCTTTGTTTCTCTTATTTTCGTATTCTGATGGTTCTTTTCCAAACAAAGGGTAATCCTCGGCAAAGTGTCCACACAAGCCTGAGATTTTTCGTCTTGAAAAACTGATTTTCGTTGGATCTCCTCCTTTCTCCTCAAAAATAACCAGAATGTTTCCAGATGGCCTGAACCAAGACCGTGGAATATGGTACCTGATCAAATGCAGATACAAAATAAGTCTTCATAACCAGATGAAAGCTTTCTTCTTTTTCTTTACCATACAGTTTATTTTTTTCAAAGGAAGAAATAAGCTCACAACAGTTCAATATAATAAACAATAGCTGCAAAAAATAGTTTCAAGAAACCAAATGTGCAAAGGCAAAAACTTAATAAACAAGCCATTCTTTTACTATCTGTAAAATCTGTGAATATATGATTTTAGGTATTACTGACAATAGGAAGCGTCATGTAAAGAAAAGTTAGGCTATGTTTTCTTATGGATTACGATGAGAAATTGCACTTTTGGTGATCAAAAGTCTGATTTTAGTGTCGTGACATGATACGCTACAATTAGATGGAGGCACATACACCCATCCCACTAAAGAATTTTCGATATATATATTATTGAAAACTCTTCAATAGAATGAATGCATGTGCGTCCATCTTATAGTAACATACCAAATTCAACACATGACTTCCACATGTCATATATATAAGGCAAGTTCAAGAGTACCAATGTTTTTACACAAAGTTATGAGATATGTATTATTCATAAACACACACGCATGTCGTATATATTGGGCAAGTTTAATAGCACCAAGTTTTTAAACAAATGTTAACACAATTTTCTAGTCATTGGATCAAGGCACTTTATATGGTTGACATTCAATGCAACTTGCAGAATTGATACAATCTACATAATTTCAAACATTCAAATGCATTCTGATGGAAGATGGAAGTGTTCGGATTAGGTTTAGTAGGCCTCCAAGAATAAGTTTTGATGACTTACACTTATCCTCATCTGGATTAAATCCCAAAGAACCTCTTGAACAAAGAAGATTTTCTTGTTCAGTAAGAGACCCCCTAGACCTAGCCAGGTTAAAACAAATATTCAAGGAATAGATAATTCCTCAACAATACCATAACCTTATTAATATATATATACACACGCACACACAATTCTTCGCATAACTAACACATGCGCCACAAGTGAATAGATACAAATGCATCCGTCTAACAAAAAATCCCTTTATATATGTATATAAAGATATATATGAGGAATATTTTAGTGGGACGGATGCATGTGAACATATATAATGACTACATGTTTGCTAGGCATGCAAAGAATTGTGTGTGTGTATATGCACATATATATAAACAATTTTTCAATGGGATGGATGCATGTACGTCCATCCAATCACAGCATATCACGTCAACTTGCATAGTTGACATACTTGTCGTGATTGAATGAATGCACATGTGTCTGTCCTACTAAAGACTTCCTCTTATTTGTAAATGTTGACAATTCATCACTAAGGCAAATATGTGTCCAATCACAGCGTGCCATTTTAACGTGCATGGCTAAAACATACTTTTGGACAGGTGCACATGCATATTTCCCAATAAAGAAAAATTCTTCAATGAAATAAATATATGTGTCCATCCAATCACATAAGTCACGTTAATGCACAAATTCTTCAATGAGATATACAGTGGGATAGACACATGTGCATCAATTGTGACGTGTGCCAGCCATGCACGTTGATGTGACACATTATAATTGGATGGACGCATATGTGTTTATCTCTTTGACTGAATATATATATATTGACAATTCTTCAATGAGACAGACGCATATACGTCTATTCAATAACAACATGTTACGTTAGCGCACATGGATGGGACACACTTGTATAGAGATATACATATATATATTCACTATTTCTTCAATAAAACGAACAAATATACATCTATCTAATTACAACGTGTAACGTCAACGTGCATGGCTGACAAACATGTAGCAATTGAATGGATTCAAATGATTTTTTCCCACTAAAGACTTCCTCCTAAATATAAATATCAACTGTTCTTCATTGGGATGGATGCATATGCATTAATCCAATCACAACGTGGCACACTAACATGCATGACTAATTCACATGCCATGATTGGATGGGTGCACATGCATCCATCCAACTAAAGACTTCCTCAGTCACGTTAAGGTAACTTAAATTGAGACACTAATTATTGACCATGGATCTATTGAAATCTAATGCACTTGAGAGAAATTGAAGGTGGTTATTTTCAATACCACCTCAACAATTTCTAAGCAATTAGATTTGAATTGATGGCTATAAATTAAAGTTACAACCTTAAGTCAGATACTTAAGTTGATATATATATGTTCTGATTAAGTAGACGTCTTTGTCAAAATTGATGAATTGTGTAAGTTCATATGCATTTGGACAGCAGATTAAATGACTTTGGTTGTGATGCAGTATTCTCACGAGATCAGTTTTTTAAGAGAAATGGTAGTTGGCTAAGGAAGTCCTAAAAAGGTTTACCTATCATGGCAATTTTATGCAATTTGAGGGGGAAAAAGGACCTCTAACATATTTCCTAGTTGGTTTACCATCTTTGGGTTGGTTCTCCACAGCCAGTGAAGCATTTGTCTGGGAAGAATTTGCCTCTGTAATCACATTCTTGAACACATCCATGGATAGAACTTCTCTTAGGCCAATATCTTCCAATTTCTTCTCCATTCAACCAAGCTAAACCTTTCCCCATTTTAAGCATATCCAGACCAATAGGTTCGTCCCCTGGTGGTTGGTCCACAACAACCTACAACATTCCATACAATTTTTATCATTTAATAGACACTAGTTCATGAAAATCTAAATCCAAGACAATGGAAATAAAAGCTGATTATTATAGAACAGAGAAATATAATATTTCACAAGTATTTACCTTGTACCAAGTCAAAGGCTGTTTCTTTGGTGGTTCTGAAGTTGATACCCAATTTACACCATTCAAACCATCTGGCTTGTATATGCCCAGGTGTTCTCCTTGCAAACCAATCTAGGAAAAGCAGGAAGGAGGAAAAAAGTAAGGCTTACAAAATTATAGAGGTTACTCAGTGTTGATTAAATGACACATGATTTTCCCCAGCATTTCAACTCTCCAGAAAACAGCTTCCCTTGGTTACTCACCGCGTGACATGTGAAAGTTAGGGTTTCATTCATGTTAGTGACACGTGAAATTTAGGGTTTCACACATGTTAATGTAGAACAACCTAAACTTTAAGGAGGACTTCTCAAATTATTCCTAAAAATTTAACTTGTTAACTCCACATTACTTATATCAATATGACAATATTAGTTTTACAATTGGTAAGCAAAAGAAAAAAAGTTAATTTTATTATTAGATTAGATATTAACAATCTTTCTGCTAACAGGTCTGAGAACTAAACTATTAAGATTTTTACAACAGCCGGAGATATAAAAGCTCAGTATGCCAAATGAAGCAACATACCTTATAGGACCAACTATATGTAGACAAGTCCAATGTCCCATTGTTAAACCCATTAATCTTGACACTCGTTAATCCTGCTCCCACCCATTCATAAGACGGTCCTGCATTCTAGAAACAGCAGTAAGGATTTTAAAAGTGCAGAATTAGAAAATATAACATGAATAAACATAAAGGACAGATCATGAAACTTTCTTAATTGTTATAAGGGAGAAAAAATTATTCTAACCAAAAGCAACAATTCAAGTGTGTGAGGTAGCATTCTTCCCATTATTATCAAACAGGAAAAAAAAAACAAACATCAGTGCTTCCTTGTTTTAACAGTTCAGAGAGGATACTAAAGTAACTCAAATTCATCTTTCATGTTAACCAAAAAAGGGTGAAGGGAACCACTTGTGATGAAAGTACAACCTCTTTACATGAAAAGAAAGATTTGGGAAGATATAGAGAACATGGGATGTTTTTCATATTCAAAAGAAAAAAGTACATGATTTGATAGATTTATGGAGCCCTAAATGAAGTCAGCATGAAAAAGTTGGAGCAAACATTAGATCCCATCAGACCAGACAAAATTAACACAAGTATAGATATTCAACTTACTTGTAGGCCGACAGTCATGCTTAACAGAGCAATTTCATTCTTCCCCGCTTTGAGAGAGATGGGATTCTTAAATTTGAAGGGTGAGTGTGAACCATTTCCAGACGCACTACCTAATGACATACGAAATATGAATACTTATATGACAATATTGCGAGATAAAATATGACTACTTATAGGAGCTTGTCCAAAAAATATACAGAGCTGATCAATGACAAATATGCAAACTCAGTAAGTAAATACCAGCAATAATTTGGAAAGATTAGAATCAATCAACCAATATGCAAAAAGGATAATTTGTAGGAAAAGATAGGATCATGATATGCACATATATTTACAATGAAATCATAAATACAAATAATAATTTGGAAGAATAAAAATCAACTAAGCAGTATGAAAAAAATATATATATTATGTAAAGATAAACCAAAATAACTACAATTTTAAATATAATTATTTATCCTTGACACAGGCATAGAAAAGAGAAACATAATTTATAGTTATTATACCTCATACAATTAACTAAATTTAAATAGAGAATAAAGTGACCATACACAAGTTAAAGTTTCACAAATTGATTCATAACTTTTGTAGATGATGACCAATATCTGAGTTAGAAAATTAAAGGCATGCAACTCAAAGAGCACCTTCAAGAAAAAGAAATAATAATAACCTTGAAGTTCTTGATTCACAAAAGCATGAAGTGCATGACCCTTTGATTCAATTAGAAGAACAGTGCTGCTTCCATTCTTTAAGAATTCCTCATCTTCACTAACAATTATACTGCAATTACAGAACAAATTTAGTTTCAAAAACTATATTAGTATATCAGTGCACCACTGCTCAAATACCGACTTAATTTAATTTAAAAGTAAACATATGCAAAGACTTAATAAGGTTAGTAATTAGAATTGAAAAATGCACTTTCAGGATAGTCTGCATAAAAAGCAAACACCACAACAGAAAGCATAAGCCCTCTTCTAAGAACCCGCAAGAAACTAGATGGCAAAGCTACAAAACATACAAAATTTCTTTTTCCTTTCAATCTTACACTTCTGCGAGTTGTTCAAAATCTCTTTCCTGATTAGATGACGCTTTATCATGAAAAAAATAAAACAAAATAAGTACATGTGTTTTTCACAACAATATGCAGAAACTTTGCTTCTTGTAAACTTTTGTTACAGGGGTTCTCTTTTTGCTTCATTAACTTCGTTGTTAATGGAGGTGGTTAATGATTGTGACTTTGCTTTGGTTTTTGAGTTCTGAAACATTAGTGTTTGGACATTAATGTTTGTGAAATCATAGAATGCAGGAAACTACAGTGCTATTAACCTTTATCAGCGTGATATCTCATCTTCCTAATATTTCATCTTCCCATGATTTCATTGCACCCTTGCAAAAAGCTTTAAAGGTATTGTAGCACACTCTTAAGCATATAAAAACCATTTTTTTTTGTTCATCTTCTATCAGAACCCTACGTTGGTAGCATTATATAGTGTTTGACTCTTACCTATAAGTTTAGTAGTTTGAATCTAAGCAACTCCTTAATATAGTGTCAAGGCAATAGATCTTGAATTCAAATCCCCCAAACATAACATGTAGGCAATTATATTTGGTTACTTGTTATTGGTTTGTCCGTTCAATTCAAATATAGGCTTGGTCCATGTTACACGTGAGAGCACTTACTAAAGAGCTTAAAACTAATATCAGGCCCTACTTGTCAGCCCAAGCTTTTGGTTTGAGTGGTTATTTAACAACACATCAAATTTCAAGACAGAAAAAGAAAAACACTTCAGCAGACGAAATTGTACTGTAATCTTTTTACAAATTAAGACTAACCTTGTTGTATACCAGAGGTAGTCAGTAGTATCTTTTGTGGCGTTGATATGATCCACAAAATTATTTTTCACAAAGTCAGCTTCCCCCCAAAGGCCAGCTTTCTCCTTAAATATCTCCCATTTTGGAGCTTTATCTGATGAAGCCACTGATGGCTGTAAATTCTCAGGAACCATTTCAACTACTGGCGTTTGGGAACCTACCTGTTGATATTTATGTATAGGTACAGAAGTTAGTTAAGAACACTATTCACAAAAACTGAGTTTAGGGCATGCAGAGAAAGGTATCAAGACCAGTGTATTGTCAGATTATAGAATCTACTATGATGCTAAAATAGAATGAATAGCTGATGTTACTTCTCACTTAGAAAAGTTAGTTAACCTCTCGTAGTTTGTTGATCTATTTCATTCTATATGTTTTCACATGCATGTATTATCAGTAGTGCCGTTTAATTTGAATTCACAATCCTCCCTATGGTACAATAGTAACTAAAAAATATGGTAACCACAAAGAATTTTCTACACATATGAACACATATATTCCCAAGACAGGGTTTAAACAAAGAAAATAATTTTTAAAAGACTCTGCCTGTTTTAAAAACCTTGGCATGTAGTGTGGTGCCAGATAGTTAGGAAGCTAAAAGCTTATCCAAGTTCATTTTGTTTTCAGATGGTCAAATATTATGCCAGCAACCTTGTTAGTCCCGTATAATGAGACCATTGAGTGGAAGACATATTATAGAAGCTATGAGATAAAGTGATAACATAGGCATATGAATTCTTATCCCTAGGTAGCTTGAATACTTACATGTGAGAGCCACATCAATACTGTATACTTATGTGATTACTGATATCTTATATCTTACTTCTTAAACTTATTCAGATTCTATAAATGAAATTTATGATAAAAAAATGCACCCGACGTTTCTTAAATAACATGCATAAACTACAAAGCAAACATTTTGATAAAACCCTTTCAATATATATATGAGAAAAAATTTAATTAAGAAAATAAAAACGGCTAATGAAAAAGGTTTTAACTACCCTAAATCAAATATGCTTAGTTATTAAACTAAATTAGTTATAAAAGCAATATACATAACAAATTAATGAAAAACTGCACAAGTACATAAAATGCAGATTATTTGTTGGAACTGAATATCAGTTCTAGTGATATAACAATAAATAAATATTCAGTTAGTAGACTATAAATCCTTCAGCATCTCATGATTCCCAAAGGCCAATTCCCTTTAAGAAAAAGATGACACACATTATGTGACTTCACTACAGATGCACTTAAGAGTTCTTGTAGATATTAGAACTGTGACTTTAATTTGTGATTGTTAGCAGTGTGAAGGCACAGAAATATATGGAAAATTACCTTTGCAGTGTTAAACACTACATTCTTGCAGTCAGGCAGAATGCTAACTGACCATGCAGGCAAGTGATATGACACATTTCGAAACTCTACTATTTTGTCATTTTTATCATCCATGTTAGCAAGAAAGGCAGCACATCCTCCTGAAGAATTAGCATAGACATCGGCCTACAAAAAAGTGATTATTCTGTGAAGGATGATCATTTGCATAATAGATTAAAAGCACATTAAAGTAAATTTGAATGGCAATATTTATATCGATGAAGAGCAAAAGATAACACACTGTTTATTTCTTTCTTTCTACTGAAGAGTAGGAGGGTGGCAGAAGGGCCACCACGAAGTAAGAAATTTGTAGCAAACATATTTTTATTAAATGTTTTGTTGATATCTGATAGGTTCCTCTACCAATAATCAATAAAACAGCAGAACAATAGCAAAATGGCAACCAAAAACAAGAGAAAAATCAGTACAACAGCAGAAAATTAGACTAGGCTTCGAGAGCTAGCTCCTCCTACATAAATTCCTTCATATTCCCCCTGCATTCTGATATCCTCCCCTCTTTTATTCTCCAGCTCCTCCCAATTGTGTAACAAACTCTCCCTTGCTGTCCAGCCATATTCTGCCACCTGTCCATGCATAAAACCTCCCACAACTTCCGACCTTATTTATCCTTTCATACACCCTAGTTACCCTTGCCTCATCAATATCCTAACTAATTGCTTTCAGCCTTATTTTCTTCAAATGAATTATAATGCTCTCATAACTGCATCCTTTTATTCAAGTTGATCCAGCATCTAAGTTTTTGTACATTAATGTACATATCTATTTTTCCTATTAAAAAAAAGGTGGGATTTTCACCTCCAAACTCCATCAACAATCAAATTGAGTTACAATATGCCCAATCAGATCTAAACCAAGTAGAATTCAAATCACAACATATAGTTTATCAAAAAGGGAAAAATGATTGACTCCTAAGACATTCAAACAAGGGCAGCACAGAAGTATGAAAGAATAGGATGCGATATAGGAAGAAATTACATTCTTTGATCATATAAGCACTATATATTGACAAAATAAGAATTTGAAACTAGATGAAAACATTAAAACCATCTATGGATTGGATATCAACATTTACCAGAAAAAGTAGCGTTTAACATCTAAAAGTTGTCAAACAGGAGAAAAAAATCACCTCTTGGGAAGAACCCAATGACAAGTTAATTGGCTCACTGTTTAGTAGTGCATGCTCACATAACTTTATAGCTCTATGAAGCTCCTTAAGGTGTCCCCATTTTGGATTCCTTGGTAATCCTAAAAACCATCAAATTAATTAAAAAACAAAATTGCTAAATGCTAAATTAAATACATTCTATGGAGTTGAATCACAGGCGTGTAGTCATTAGAATGAGAACTGACCATATTCATCAATTGGTGCATCGTAGTCATAACTTGTAGTAATGAAAGGTCCTCCTGAAGTTCTACCGAAATTTGTTCCACCATGATACTAAACCACATGAAAGAATGATGGCAATGACAATGATGATGTAAGGAAAACTTAAAACAGAAGTTAATCAACATGATACTTGAAGTGAACTACCTAGTAAAACACTTATTACATCAAATGCATAAGATAGTAGATTAATTGTAATACCATGTAGTAGTTATGTACACTGCCACCTTTCTGGAAAAAGCGAGCAACAGAATAAGCAACATCTTGAGGTGGCCTGTGGGGATCTCTAGCCCCAAATGTTTTAAACCTGAAAGAGGTAAAGCATTGATTGTACCATAATTAAGGAGAACCAAAAAAAAAATTCAGAAATCCCTCATTAAGTCTATGGTCTTTTGCATGCCTTCTAAAAATCATTATTGAGACAATAGAAATTTAAACAGTGATTAAAAAGGCACATATAGAATAAATATAAGAAATGACCAAAGTGTCCCAGCAAAAAAAAAAATAATAAAAAAAAATAAAAAATAGAGATCAAAATTAGAATACAAACCATCCAGGCCAATTCTCAGTCCACATTTTGGGTTTGTTTGGTGAATTAGGTTTGAATTGATCACAGTAAAAGGAGTTACAAGTATTGATCTGCAAAGTACATAAATGAACAAGAAAACAAATTATTGTCGTGGTTCTGAACATTGCCTTGCAACAGAGAGAGTAGAGTACATTTCTAATTATGCAATTCATTTGAAGGAGAAAGTAGAGTGCATCACTATGCATCACTAATTGTGGCAAGGATCATAAAATAAGTTTAGCAACTACAATATAAACTGTTACCATGAACTTTCCACAAATTATTACAATGAAAATCCTCAATTAAAATAAGAAAACTATATTTTGATTGATATGAATCATACACAACACCTGGCTAGTAGATTTACACAATTAGATAGTCAGTCCTAGTCAAATAAAAAGGTGAATTCTCTGTGGTTTGAGCTGTTTTAGAGCTTAGATGTGGTTGCTGATTCTTACCTATCAACTTAGACATTTGAGGTCAAACGTTACTATAATGATATTAAAACCGAGTTAAAAAGTGATCTTGCATTTGCAGTAATTAAATTATACTAAATTCTCTTTGGGCTTCTATGTCACATGAATTATGAGATGTGCCTTTCTTCTTCATTCTTAACAATCGGGAGGCTGCACTGATGAGATTAAAGGAGTTTACTTTTTAGGAGTTTTGGAGATTTCTGGACCTTTCTGTCCTGTTTCTTTGGTTAGTTTTTGTTTTGGGCTGTTTTGACTCGCACATGTATAGCTATACTGTGGACAGTTTGTTCACTTCTTTGTAAGGTTTTTTCAATTTCTATAAGTTTACTAGAGTTCATTATCAAACAAAAAGAGATCATGGTAGAGCTTAAATATAATATGAACATTTCTTCTCTTTAATGCCTATCAAGAAGAGATATTTAACAGAAAACTCAAACTCCCGCCTAATATTTAATGACCAATAAGTATGTGTTTGTGTGTGCACACGTTGCACAAGATTGTGATACTAGATTTTCATTGCAACTGAAGTATGGGAAAACGGAAGAAGTTTTAACTGAATGATGATACTCTTATATTATTAAAAGTAATTATGCAATTAAAGTTTAAATACTACTACTGCTGAAGCATTTGCCATACATTTAAGCTTTTCGGATTAAAGGTGCCTCAACATGGTAACAAAATTCAAGTGAGTATGAGTCCAAATCAATGGATACTATTAATTAAATTATAGCACAAAGTACGGCCTGAGTTTGGAAGAACTATGATATAAAATAAAACTAAAAACCCAGTTTCCTCTCTTCTTACCATCTTTTTCTCAACATTCAAACAAGAAAAAGATCAATATAAATTTCCACCAACAAAGTGAAGCTAACATAAGAATTCTCCTTTGGTACCTCATCCATGATAAAAAGGTTGGGGAAAAGGAACATGCAATAAGCTTAAACCCAAAAAATTGCTTCTCTATCCACAAATTCCAATATCTCTAAAAAGGTTCATGTACTCCTAATAACTTTGAAACAAGAAAAATTACTCTTTTCAGATGTTATATAGCGATTTTATAGAATTTGCAACACCTTATTTGGAGCAAATTTGGGTATCAACAAAGAAGGGAGAAGTTGGAGATCAAGGACTTGGGAGCTTGACATTGGGAGACTATATCAACCATTTTCCTATGTAAATGATAATTGAAACTGTGCCCATCATGAAATTGTTAAAATGTACAACACATCTCAAAAAAAAGCTGGAGAGTCTTCAATAAATTTTTATGCTAGTCCTAATTGCATGTATTTGTGCCAAAAGAGTGAGAGATACATGGAATCTGACCTTCTTTTAGTTGATACTTGAAAGCTTTTAATCCAGTTAGGCATCAATCAGTATCAAATGAAAGAAATTATTGTTTGTAGTTTAATGAACAATTCTCATCACTTGTTATGCATGATTGGATGTGTATTTCTGCAACCTAAAGCTGGTGTACATATGATCTAATGTCGGTCTAGTACGTGTTACATTATACAAAAAGAATGGAAGTTTGAAAATTTTTATTGTTGTAATAGTTAAATCTCTTAGACTCTTACCACGGGGTCTGGAGCATCATCCTGTTGGCACATTATCCAAGGCACGCCTATATTTTGAGCAACAGCCATTCTTGCAGCCCACAAGGCATATCGCTTTCCTCCTTCTCCATATCCTGCTTCATAGAATCCATATTCATTTTCAACCTGCAATAAGAGACAGAAATTGAATGCTATCTGAAACAATTAGCTACCAAAAAGAAACACTAAAAAATATATATAAACACATGATATTAAGTGCAAAATAAAAGCATTTATTAAAATAAAACCGAAAGATAAGTCAACTTTCAGTGCATGCAAACAGACACAGAAATGCACTTAGCTTAATAAATTACATCAACACAAATTATGGAAAAAATGATACTAGAATTATGATATTCTGATAAGCTGATTATATAATCATGAGTAATACTACACTTACAAAGAAATTTTACAAAGATCTTCATATAAAGTGATGTGGCAGAAAATGTATGGAAGAGTGAATTTAAGAAGTTTGACTTTTTGTTTCACTCTTCCATTCATTTTTTGCCACCTAATTTTGTATAAAAATCTTTATAAGTATAGTATTATTGTATAATCATCTATGGAAACTCAGAACAAGCAATATTTTTTGGGCTCAAAGTTTCAAAACAATATCAAAGCTTTCAATTCCAAGCGAATAAAAAACCTGCTGCAGGTCCAATTAATTTTACCCAAATAATATTCTGCTTAACAACACATAAATCAATACACATGACTTAAAGCAACATCGTTATATTATTGCCATGGTTTTCAATTTGCTTAATTTATCTTAAATTTTAACTCATCATCCACTTTATGCCACAACAATTTGGATAGATATTTATACAAGTAGTATTACTCTAGCATATTTAGGATCATGTTTTCTCATTTTGAAATTTGATTTACAATTATTTATGCCTTATTTTCCCATTTGAATTGGAAAAAACTTGTGACTTTTCACAATTGGTATAGGAATTTTTTTTTTCTTTTACATCTTACTAAGTAGGACTATTACATACTATAATCTATATTAAATTTATATTGGGTTGATTGGGTGTTAGTACTTTAATTGATACCTTTGATAGAATTTTAAAGGTGGCTACCACTTGTATCCATCAAAATTTCTATATAAACTTGTAAATGGCTTATGGCTTATGACTTGTTGAAGAATGAAATAGATCCCTGATTTTTCTTATCTTTGAAGGGGCAATTTTTTTACGGTGTATTAGCATTGAATCAAAACTCTAAGCAATTGATTGAGATATCAATCCTATAAATCATGCTTAAAAATTTAAATTCATCTGTGAAAGAGAAACTAATATTTCAAGTAAAATCATTGCACAGAATTATTTATAAAGTGATCTATCTACTATCCTCTATAGTTTGAAAAAGAAATACTAAATTTTCATGGACAAAAAAGGTGACCTGTGTTACTTTTTTCAGGTAAAAGATGGAGTAACAGATTATCATCCTTGTAAGAAGAGAGTAGGACAGATTTGTGATTTTCCTAATACAATTTGCTAGATTAACTCACTTTAATACCATATATTGGCATTCTGATTCTAAAACCTTTAAGCACTAGATCCACCACCCTCCATAGAAAATAGAAATGTGCAGAATTGAAAGCCAACTTGCCTGCGACATGATGATGGGACCTCCCTGTGGTGCAAAAAGCTTTTCCTGCTTCATTAGGTTCACTATGACTGTCATAAATCTCTGCATGTAATACTGAATATCCAATGAGTAGGAAAATTAGATACAATCTGTCAACCATCCCTTTATAAGTGTGACAAGTGCTTTGTCATATATCAGTACAACATCAAGAATTTTTAGTGGTGTCTACAGATTTCCTAGCAACAGAGACTCCAAAAATAAATTCCATACCTTAAATGACTCATTATCAGTTCGGAAGACAGTGCCAGGAATGTAGTGCAACCAAACAGGTACCCCTCTGTGTCATGATCAACGCTCAGATTTAACAAAGAGAAAATAGAAGTGAAAGCGTATATAATATTAACACTGCAACATGAACACTAAGCTTTCAATTTAAAACATTAGCATACCCATAATTATACTCAGCAGCAACAAATGGGCCAATCCGCAGAATCATATACATCCCAGCCTGCTGAACTATCTTGACAAACTTGACCAGATCAAATCGTCCCCCGAAATAATACTAGAAGTTCCAAATTAAAAGAAAGACAAAGTTTAATATTAACCAACATAGATAAATTTTTGAAAAATGCATATCTAAAGTTTTGTCGATGACGTTCATTTTACTTACTTTCCCAGGAGAAAGCTCATGACCATTCCAAAACACATACGACTCGATCACATCTGCTCCTCCTTTCTTCGCCGTTTGAATCAGCCCCGGCCACATCTACCACATATCACATTTACACTCAGATTATACAATTATTGACAAAGTAAAACGCACATTTCAAAGAACATTAAAATCAAGAACGAAAATTATCACAGAGCAGAAAGTGTGAATAACAGTGAAATCATAAACAGCTAGTCAAACAAACAAACATTTAGCCTCCATTTTAACCTCCAAGTAAAAAATGTAAAAGAAAGACCAAAAAAGCTCAAGTTCAACAGCAAAAATTGAACTCAGTCGGGTAAAGCTGCCTATCGATGGCCAGAAGCAATGTTGTAGCCTCTCAAATCTACTTGATTTTCTCAGCAACCGAACAAAAAATAAGGACAAAAGTTTGAAAAAATAAATAAATAAAACAGTGAGCGTAAGAAAAATGTAGATATAAAGAAAGAAGAAATCTAACTCCAAATAAAAACAAGTTCAAATGTAAATAAATAAATAAATAAAACAGTGAGCGTAAGAAAAATGTAGATATAAAGAAAGAAGAAATCTAACTCCAAATAAAAACAAGTTCAAATGTCACAAAATATCATGAACGAGAGAGAAAGTTTCACCGCCGGAACGCTGCGAGGATAATGAATGGCGGCGGAAATGAGAAGCTTTCGCTGGCCATCGATGATCAAAGAGCGACGATCGTAGGTTACATTTGAAGCGAAACAAAATGTGATTAAACTACTGGAGAAGAAGAAGAAGAAGAATAAGAACTTGATGTTTGTTAACCACATTTTGAGAAGTAGTGTGTTTAGTAGGAAGTGAAGAAATTAGGTGTATTTATAAAGTAAACAGAAAAGGCATGACCATGAGGATGTCAGACATACGCGTTGAGATCAGCAATTTGTATATCACCAATGTGCAGACAAAATATTCAAAACAGATCTCCAGCTATATCCTTTTTATTAGATAAGAATCATAAGATCTTTAACGGTTGGGGTTCCTTTGTTACTTTCGCAAAACCTATGGGTGATTGTGGATTTTTCCTAAACTTTGGTTTAAACTTTTAAGTTTTAACCACCTTCCTTGTTGTTCTCGAAATTGAAGTTGGTCCCTTTGGTATGGGAATTATGATTTATCCAACCACCTCCCCCCATTTTGAACGCTAAATGACAATATTATCCATAAAATAGCTTTTCAAAACTTAAAAAATAAAAATTAAATATTTTATAAAATTTTCTTTAAAATACCAAAAAATATTAAAATTAAATTAAAAGAATAAAAAATCACAGAAAATTTGGAAAAAAAAATAACCAAAACCTACCAAGTTTGAAAGATTTCTTAAAAAAATTATTTTTTATTGGGTTTTTTTTAGGTAATTTTATTGAATTTTTTATGTTCAATCAATTTTTTTTAAGAACCATAGATATTTTTTCTTAATTTTATAGAAACATTTTATAAGAGGTGATTTGATCATTGCATAAGTTGTAATCAATCAACAGTTAATTTTAACAGAAAACATTGATGGTAAAGGGAGATGGTTGGATAATTCGCACAATCAAGGGATCAACTTGTCAATTTTCAAAACCCACGGGGATACCCAAGCCAATTATGGAGTAACTGATTTTTAAGGATCAGCATCAATCCAAAACAATATAATCATTATAACCATTGAAATATTCGTTGTTTTTGAAAAGTAAAATTTTATACTAATAATCTATATTATATCTTCCCAAGCCGTGAAAAAATTTGGCGTATAGCCAACTAAAAGGCCAAAATAATTTATATCAAGAAAAAACCAACTAAAAAGGAACTGAATTTAATAATAATAATTTATATATTTCAAATTGGCAAAGGCTACTCTGTTTTTGTTACTGGATCTTTTATTTTTTCCAACAAGGCTGACCAATTTTGACCGTGTTTGACTCCTGTAAGTAGGAAGTCACACTATGGAGAACGCTTCATTGCACCCCCTAAAGTTTATAAAGTACGAATAACACACTTGCCAAATGTTAATCATGGGTTATTATAACTCAACCGTTTAAAACCCTTTTTTTATAATCATGAATTTGTGTCCAAAAATTCAGAAATTTAAATTATAATAATCCAAGTGTATACTGAAAAGGAACATAATTATTATTTTTATTTTTTTGGCTTTATTTTGTAATTTCAAAATAACCAACTCATGTTAAAATTAGATTTACATTTCATAATCCAATTTATTTTTTTCTTTTATAATTTCTAAGAAACTAATTGGATAACTATTATATATGTCAACAATAATTGACGTTTTTTTCCCAAAAAGGTACGAGAAATTAAGTCGCCGTGGCCTTCTCTCACCAAAAAATTTAAAATTTGATAACTAGGCTTAAATAAGGGGGTAATTTACAATAGAAAATGAAATGATTTTAGAGCGAATTTTTGGTACATTCTATGTATATACAACTGTCTAATTAGGGTTGCACATATGCACAATAGTAGAAGATGTATGGAAGAATTATTCATGATTTTAAGATAGGGTAAATCAATGTATTCTAGCTATATCTATCCTGTAAATGGAATCTTAGCCACAAGCTTAAAAGGGACTTTTTGTTTCTGATAAATTAGAGTGAAAAGTGATTTAGACCCAATTCTTGCCTTTGACGTCAAGCCATTTCATATGGACTTGATCTATATAAAGCATTTATATGGTGTGAGATCATATTCATTAACGACAAATCATTTGTCACAAGATTTGTTGAAATTATTCCATATAATTACTTGGAAATTTTTCTAAAAAAGGGACTCACACTTTTTTAATAAATTATATCACTCCATGACATTATCTCATTATTTCATTAAATTGATTTCATTGTATAATTCAAGATATCCTCAACCCCACAACAAAACATGAATCATGTGGGTTGTTCAAACATGCCAGATAGCATGAGATCTTGTTCAAAATCTTAATTAGAAATAGGGGGAAAAAAGAGTTAATACAGATTATTATTATTTTTGTCCACTTTTTATAATATTACCGATTGTAGATTAGATATCATTGGATAATGTTGCCTAAGCATGGTTTATATATATTAACTAAATTTCTGTTAAATCTATAGAATATTTTGACATTACTGTTATTGTCCCTCAATCTTTTAGCGTACATTCATCTAGGATATTAAAATTACAGAATTAATATTATATTTGACGAAAGTTTAAGATCAGATTTCCGAGTTCCATTAAGATTTTTATAGGATTCCATTTTCCAAACACCTGACATGAAGATTAGAAGTGATTAATCAAAATATACATTTGGAAATAAATAAATAATTAAAAAGCAATGCAACGCGGAAACATGGTCCCGACAAATATAGATTTAGAAAATCGACATATCTCACCTAATCCCCCCAGCCGTAACCTGATAATTCGCACAATCAAGGGATCAACTTGTCAATTTTCAAAACCCACGGGGATACCCAAGCCAGTTATGGAGTAACTGATTTTTAAAAATCAGCATTAAGGGTGTTAACGAGCCGAGTTTTCGGCTTAACGAGCTCGACTCGTGAGAGAGGATTATTAATCGAGTCGAGCTCGAGCAGAGTCGAGCTCGAGGCGAGCCGAGCTACAAATTTTATGGCTCGGCTCGGGAAAGAGTTGGAAATATTTCGAGCCGGCTCGCGAGTCGAGTTCGAGCCAGCTCCCGAGTCAACTCTCAAAAATTCAATTGTTTTAAGAAAAAATCAATTTTTATTCTTTTCTAGCCACTGCCATTCTTCTAGCCAATTCATGCACTTCCTTTTCAGCCCAAAACCCCTTGTGAATCTAATTGGAAATGCCAAGCAATTATTTTTAATGTATGTTTCCTTTTGTTGTAAAACAACGCTCTTTCGCAATTGCGATACAACAAGATGATCATCCCATAATAGAAGTTTCAATCCAAGACGATCATCAAGGAGATGGACCACAGAAAATAAACCAGGAATCGCGGCCAAACGTCGGCAAGACTTCAATGGGTCTGACGACGACAGCTCTGCAACGCAAATCCGATGAAGAAGACGTGGTTCACGGTGAAGAGTTAATGGCGACTGGGAAGTGTGCTGGTGCTACCGACAAACCATGTTGGGGATCGATGAAATTTAGGGATTACGGCAAAGAGTTACGACAAATGAGAAAGTGTCGTGGTTTTAGGGATTAAAAAATCGGGGGAGATTTTGTCATTTTTTTAAACTTTTGCTGTTAAATTTTCATTTTAATCCCCTGTACTTTAGAAAACCCAAAAAAAACCCCAAGTTTTTTCGAGCCAAGCTCAACTCGGGAGCCTAACGAGCCGAGCCGAGCATGGCTCAAACTCGGCTGTTCTATCTCACGAACCAACCTGAGCCGACTCGTTATCTGACGAGCCGAGCCGCTAACGAGCCAGACCCAAGCCGAGTCGAGCCGGCTCGCTAGCGGCTCAGCCCGTTAAGCACCCGTAATCAGCATCAATCCAAAACAATATAATAATCATTATAACCATTGAAATATTCATTGTTTTTGAAAAGTAAAATTTTATACTAATAATCTATATTATATTTTCCCAAGCTGTGAAAATTTTTGGCGTATATCCAACTAAAAGGCCAAAATAATTTATATCAAGAAAAAACCAACTAAAAAGGAACTGAATTTAATAATAATAATTTATATATTTCAAATTGGCAAAGGCTACTCTGTTTTTGTTACTGGATCTTTTATTTTTTCCAACAAGGCTAACCAATTTTGACCGTGTTTTGACTCCCGTAAGTAGGAAGTCACACTATGGAGAACGCTTCATTGCACCCCCTAAAGTTTATAAAGTACGAATAACACACTTGCCAAATGTTAATCATGGGTTATTATAACTCAACCTTTAAACCTTTTTTTTATATCATGAATTTGTGTCCAAAAATTTAGAAATTAAAATTATATAATCCAAGTTTATACTGAAAAGGAACATAATTATATTTTTATTTTTTTGGCTTTATTTGTATTAAAATAAAAAACTCATGTTAAAATAGATACATCAAATCCAATTATTTTTTCTTTTATATTTCTAAGAAACAATTGTTAACTATATATATGTCAAACATAATTGACCTTTTTTTCCAAAAAAGTACGAGAAATTAAGTCGCGTGGCCTTCCTCACCAAAAAATTTAAAATTTGATAACTAGGCTTAAATAAGGGGGTAATTTACAATAGAAAATGAAATGATTTTAGAACAAATTTTGGGTACATTCTATGTATATACAACTGTCTAATTAGGGTTGCACATATGCACAATAGTAGAAGATGTATGGAAGAATATTCATGATTTAAGATAGGCTAAATCAATGTATTCTAGTTATCTATACTGTAAATGGAATCTTAGCTACAAGCTTAAAAGGAACTTTTTGTTTCTGAAATTAGAGTGAAAAGGGATCTAGACCCAATTCTTGCCTTGACGTTAAGCCATTTCATATGGACTTGATCTATATAAAGCATTATATGGTGTGAGATCTAATTCATTAACGCAAATCATTTGTCACAAGATTTGTTGAAATTCTTCCATATAATACTTGGAAATTTTTCTAAAAAAGGGACTCACACTTTTCTTATAAATTATATCACTCCATGACATTATTCATTATTTCATTAAATTGATTCATTGTATAATTCAAGATATCCTCAACCCCACAACAAAACATGAAATTAAATCGTTCATGTGGTTGTTCAAACATGCCAGATAGCATGAGATCTTGTTAAAATCTAATTAGAATAGGGGGAAAAAGAGTGTAATACAGATATATATTTTTGTCCACTTTTTTAA